AATCGTGGACAGTGCGGACTCGCGTGTCGTTTTTGTATTCGCACACTTCGAGCAATGCCGTCATCAATGAGATCTGAATTCATGTGTATCTCCTTGGATTTCACTGTCAGTTAGCTCATTGGTAGTCAGTCTCCAATAGCGTGATTGGAGTTCGTCACAGTCGAGTTTAAGGTGTTAGTTGTATCGCTGGCATGAATCGTGTTCTGCGATTTTTGAGTGGATGTTACTGGTTGTTTTTATCACTTAGTTGCTAACAATTTGTTAAGGTTCTTAAGGACTATTTGGAAAATCGGATTTTTGCTAAGGAGAGCAATGAACGACATGGGAGGAACACAAATCGATCGGTATTAGCCCATCACCAAAGTGGATGAAGAAAAAGTCTAAGACAAACCACTTCCATGGGTTTCAGCAGACTGAATTTTATGCCCTTGTGCACCTGAATACAGGTGGATATGCCTGCCCTCTGTGAGCCGCCAAATGTCATCCAATGTCGAGTTCGGTGAAATTATTTTGGTGGTGATCAGTGTGACAGGTATTATACGTCTCAGGAATAGGAATAGAAAGTAATAAATTTTTAACCAACAGTGTTATGGAACTCTAGGCTGAGAACATCAAAGTGGCAAGCACTCAACCACTGTGTTTCATATAGTACACAATTACGGATTGACTCAGAATTGTGAATTGGATAGTTGTGCCCGTTACTTAGCTGGAGTTTACATTNCCTTCTATGGTTGTTTTGGTTACTATCTTTGCTGTATCCGCTTCTGAGTAATACAACTTTATTTCCACAGCCCGAATTCTTCCAGAACTGCTTATTTGGTGTTTGAGATCATTTGAGTAAATACGGTGAACTTGACTATCAAAGATGAATTCCAAGATGAATTCGTCGTGTATATAGTAAAGGAAGCGTGAACAGAAAAGCTAGGAAGCACTGGACAGCTGTTTCCACCTGGTTGGGTCTCATATGTTGACCATTTTTCTCGTTTGGATCTAAATAACATAGTTTTGTTGGTTAGAACATATGTGGCGCAGCCGTCTACCGCATCACTCCACGTTGTCAGTTCCTGCGTCAGTGACGAAAATTACTGGTATGGGGAACTGCACAGTTATTGGTTGGCAGGGTACCTTTGGTTTTCCAGGCTGGGTTCAAAAGGACTATTGTGAACGGTCCGGGACACTGAACGAAACGGCAACTGAACCGAGGACTATGGCGCTTTGGTTGTCACTTGTCTGATCAGAATACTTGAACAGATATGCATGTCCAATTATGCTATGTACTTTGTT